AGATCCCGGGTGTCCTCACCGGGACGTGAACTGGCGACCTTCTAGCTGTGAGGCAACCATGCTAACCACTGCGTCACCTTTCATTAAATTGTTTGCAAAATAAATAAAAACAGGTTAGGAGCAAATTTAGTCTTAGACTTATAGATATTGGACTTCTCAGATTTGAGATATATTGTTTTAAAAGTAATAATAATAACAGTGGGAAATCAATCTGCTAATAATCATTTTTGGCCACTGGTGCAGTTCAGAAGTTGAATTATCAAAAGTTTTGTTTGTCTCTAAAAACCTGCAGATGCTCAGTTTGGCTCTAAATTAACGTAAGTTCATCCATATGACAAATTATATTTTCTCACAGACTAATGTGAACAGAAATGTTGAGTTTTTATTATTTTATTTAATTGGTAATTATTAACAGAAATGTAAACGCTGTTCTTTTGTTCTCATCTCTGCCTGAAGTAAAAATACGGAATCATATGATTAATCTGAAATCATTTTACTGCCAAACAAACACGTAAATATGAACATTTGTTTCTTGGCATTTTGATGACATCTGGGTTGTAGATTGTTGACAGAAATGTCTCACAATTTTCTTGAATTTCTTTTAGAGAAAATACATAAAAATGATTTGGTTAATAAATGTAATAAAGTGGCTGTGTGTTAGGTCAGATTTAACCCTCTTAACCCCAAATTTGACCAACAGGTTTGAAAAGCACTTTATCTTAAAAAAATGTTTTGTTTTTAAATCACCAAAATGAAAAATAATAATAATAATAATAATAATTTATAAGCCAGAAACTGTAACTTTTTGGGCTGAGCTGCGGGGTGTAACACTTAAGCATGAAGCTAAACCTCCTCCTGCGCTGTATTAACAGATAATAAACGATGAAAGAGGAAAGCTGCTGACAGATGCTTTAAACATTAGTCTTTGAGCTGCAAAACAGTGTGTTTAAAGTGTTTATTAAGTGTTAGAGATGCTAAATAGTTCTGTTTGTTTCTTTAAAACAGGTTAAAAACTACTTTCCTTCTGTGCAACCAAAGAAACGACTGCTGTTCCTGCATGATAATAAACTGTATTCTCACTTCAGGACATGAACTTGTGTTTTAGGACACTGTAAGAAGCACTTTGTCACATTTTAGACACAAGACTGTTAATTCATGATAAAACTAGTTGTTAGTTGCAGCTTTAGTTTGAACAATCGTGAAGTCAGAAGTTTCAAATGTAAAAACACTGCGACACAACGAGACACAAACTCTTAACAAACATCAGATGTGTTGAATTAATGCCGCCACATGCTGTTCCAGGTTTGTCCAGCAGGCGTCCTCAGAGGACTCCTGTCTGTGCGTTCACAAGCTTTAACACGCATGTAACATGTCGATGCGACGCTGCAGCTGCACGGTGTCTCTGCTGAGGCCGCATTTTTCAGAACATGAACAGTGCAGAGGGGGGATATGTAGCGACGGGACACAAAGACGCTGCTCTGCATGAAATAACACAGATTTAAGTTCTTAAAAAACACTTGATGCTGCTGTTTTTGCAGCTCAGATATACTTTTTAACTCCCATTTTCCAAAGTGAACAAAGGTTTTCATCTGCGACCACAGTGGGAGCAAATTATCCCTGATTTGACTAACTTTACTAACTTAGAGTTATTTTAACTACTTTCAGTTTATTAGTGTTTATTTGCTTCCACTTGGCTGCTAAAAACCCAAATTTTCACTATTTTACCAGCTAACTAATTTAAGCTTTAACGTGGTTGAATTGCTGCCACAGAAAAACAAAAGTGATTTTTTTTCCTTTTGAAAGTACCGTCTAATTATAAGACTTTGTTTTTTTGTTTCCGTTGCTAAAAAAACAAACCTGTCGACATAAGTGATTTAAGCTCGTCGTTGAGTCCTTAAAGTGTAGTTTTCTTTAAAAAGTGACAAAATCTGCCATCATATTGACAATATTTCAACAAATCCACTCGTTCTAACTCACTTTTCTTGATTTTAAAGCTGCTTTTGTTCTTATTCTGAGACTCATTTGTGGAAAAGGTCCATTCAGCAGCTGTTGTGAAGCTTTGTGATCTCCATTTGCTGATCATGTTTGCTCAGTTATCACGGGACTGTGTGTGTTTAAATGTCTATTTTGCAGATGAAGATCATGTAAAATGACTGAAAGCTCTAATTTGGCTACTAAATGGCGCCTTCCCTGTTGCAACTTGTTTCCAAGGTGAAAAGACAAACTGTTAACAATAAAGAAAGAATGAAATTCACTGGACCGTGTGGATGAAGACCATGTGACACGGCTGAAAGCTCCTGGACGGTGAGGAGTGGCAGCAAGTTGTTTGCTGGCAGATTTTTATTGTTTTGCAAATTTTACTTTATTTTTTAAAGAAAACTACTTTTTAGAGCCCAGAAACAAAAATCACCTGAAAATGTGCAGATTTTTTTTTGAGCAGCGTCATGATTGGGTTTGTTAAAGGACTTTGGCGAAAATGATTCTGCACAGGAACTAGTTCAACTACGGGCCGAAACTGCCAAAGCAACGCGAGTGTGGACCGATCTAGTGCTAAAACGATTAGTCAACTGACTGTAATCAACAACATTTTTGATAATCGATTGTTATTCATCAAGTAAAAACACTAAACATTGAACAGTTCCAGCTTCTCACGAGGGAGGATTTGCTGCTTTTTTTTCTCTCTTTTTTTTTTCTTTTTTAAATATAGATTTATATTCATATATATGTATATATAACTAAAACCTGAATATCTTTGGGTTTTGGAATTTTGAGTTAAACAAAACAGGACATTTGAAGATGGGATTTGGGGTTTTGACAAAATTGTGATGTTCACAGTTTTTGACCTTTTAGGTCGAGCAACTCATCAGCCGTGTTTCCGTCTAACTGTCGAGCGACACAACTCGCCCGTCAGAAGGTGGTGCTATTGACTATATGACTGTAATAAACAGAGGAGAAGAAGCTGGAAACAAAACCAGCCGCTCGCCAACTGCTTAAAAAAATCTCAAAGATGAGGAAATTAGCAAAATGTTTTGAATTTAAAAGGTAAAAATGGAAAGTTGTAGTTACTCTGTTCAGTCAGCAGGTGGCCGCCATGTTTAATGCTGTTCGCTAAAAAGACATTTCCATCTTTTTCCAAAAAGCCAAAAACCACCTTGAGCCTATAAAGTTTTGCTGCCAAATTGGGGACATTTATCCAGAATTTTGCTGTTGACATCTTCTAAACCCAGGAACAGAAACACGGCTAAAGACTTGGAGTGAAGAAAAATCTGGAGCTATAAAAAGAAAACAATCATTAGCTGCAGCTCGACAGTGATCAGTAGACTTTTCACATCCTAGACGTGTTTCCTTCTTTTCCACTTTTGACACTTTATCTCGCAAACTGCATCTTTTACTTTCAGGGAAGAAGGTCACCAGACATAAATCTGCTGTTTAACTATTAACCAACAAGGTTCCCTCCAGAAACGTTTCCAGAAGCTGGCGGAGGACAGATGACGACGCTCGACTACTCGTCTTCCTACGTGCACGATTCTAATGTTGGTGGGTGATTCGGATGAGTCCCGGTGACCCGATCCTGTTCATTCAGGTTGAGCCACTGATCAGGATGCATGAATGGAGCAGAAGCCAAACACTCAGCGGCAGAACTATGAGTCATTGTGTGACAGGAATCCATCCTGTTGTCCAGTTCGTTTTTTTTTTCCCAAGTGTTTTTAAGCCTAAAAAAAAAACCCAGACAAAAAAGAATCAAAAAAATGGACGCTAAACACAGTTTTTTACATAGCACCATGCCATCGGTTTCCAGTTCTTAACACTTAATAGTAGTGTGTCACATTTCCATGGGGTGTTTTTTTTTCTTTTCTGAGATATGCCGTGTCCAGAGAACAAAAATCGCTCGCATGACGGTGAGGAAATAAAAAACGAAGAAGCAGCACGCGGACGTGAGGTGATGGAGGATGAAGCTGAGGTATCTGTTCGGGTTCTACGAGGTCCGTCTGAGCGGCGCCGCTGTGTTTTACTGTACTTGTGAGGACTGTGGTGGCAGAAGGCACATGTTGCCGCGGTGGGAGGTGCTGAGGGGGTTTATGAGCAATGAAGTCCATCCACTGCAGGAAGCCGAGCCTTCGGCCGCTCGCTGCACAAACTAAAGTTTTCACCAACCAAGCAGACCATCAGAAAAGGTTCTCTGGCCCGACTATTGATCAGATCGGATCCAGCTAGTGGTTCAGCAGACAGAACCTCCAAGTCGCATCGGCTGACCGGATCTCAGAATGAATCTGAAGCTCAGACTCGGACTGAAACATGTTCCAGAGATTGGGCCGGTGCAGGCGAAGGTGCCGCTGAAGGCTCCGCTGCAGGAGGAGGAGGAGGAGGAGGAGGAGTTATTGCTTTTAGCTCGTTGCCGGGGCAACTCTGGGTGCTGACGCCGCGGTTGAGGGCGCCGGCTCGCGGTGGTGCGTTGGCGGGCGGAGCGTTGGGGTCGCTTCGGGGGATGTTGACCGGGCAGGACCGCGTCCGGGCGTGACCCTTGTGGCCACCTGGGTGGCAGACCAGGCTGCCCACGGTGTCAACGGGCGACAGGTGGCGCTTCAGCCAGCGCTCCACCCGCTCTTCCTTGTACTTGATGGAGTACCAGGTGAGGAAGATGAAGAGGAAGCCGAAGAACTTGAGGCTGGCGGCGAGGCCGAAGTAGACGAAGCGCAGTGAGGTGACGTCGTACTCCCAACACGAGCCGTGGACACCGCAGTCCTGCTGCCACAACATGCAGGTGGTGTCGATGACGGCGCCGAAGTAAATAGGAGTCGGGATGTAAGCTGAGAGAAGAGCAGGAAGAAAGAACGATAGGACAAAGGAGACACAACAAACAGAAAGATAAAGAACCAGAGACAGAATAAAAGGAGGGGAAAAGTAACAAAGGGAGGGAAAAGAAATAAAGAAGGGAAAAGAAACAAACAGAGAGAAAAGAAACAAAGGGAGGGAGGAAAAAAAAGAAGAAAGTGAAGAGAAAATGAAAAGGAAAGTGGAAAGCAATAGAAAAACAGAGAGGGATGACACCAGTGAGGGTAAAGGGAAGGAAAAGGGAGGAAACAGACACATTTGTGAGCAGAGAAATGAGAAATGACCACAGTTGAAAGAATTTCAGCAAACTGAGAAAATCATGTCAGTGAGAAACACCTCTGTTGGTCTTGCTGCAGCGATTTAATAAAGCTGCTGGACTCAAAGCTGCAGATGATGAAACATGTTATTCTGGTTGAAAAACCCCAGAATTTCATAAACATAAACCACAGATATGAAGACCTTTATCTCATGTGTTAAACCAAAAAAGGCTTGTTGTCAACCCCCCCAACTAAAATGCCACCATTTATCAGTGAGGAACGATAAAAACAGAAAGAATTGTTAGAGTTTCAACTTTCTGATATTTCTTGAACTAAACATATGTGACGTTTTATTGCAGTCTGAGCTTAAAATTGTGATTTTTCTAGTAACAAGATCCTATGAAAAAATAAAAATCTGAAGTCCTGAGACACAACTGAAAAGCCATCAGTGACTCAGCTGCAGCCAGCAGTCATGTGACATTTGTTTCTGTTGAACTGCAGGCAGTGTTTCCTCAGAGCTGAGAGGAGACAAGTATGGAAACATATTTAAAATGTAAATAGTTAAATATGTATTGCAAATGGAGCCATTTTTTCTAGTGTTGATAATGTTCGTGGACATTTTGATTCCGAGTATTTTCCATTTTTGTACAATAAATTAGGAAATTTGGCTTTTTTCATTTTCGTCTCCTTTTTAAAAAAAAATCATTTATTGGCATCCCAACTGTGTCACAGTGACAGAAGACATGACTGAGTTCTCTCTTCCTGTTTTTCTCCGTTGCCATAGAGGTGCAGGACTTTATATTACAGTGAAAAATTAACCCAGAAAGTGTTTAGAATGTTAATGTCCGCATCTTTAAGTTTGTAACCCGACTAACTCAACCTGACAGCAGCTTCCTGACGTCTCAAACATCAAATCTAATTCACCCCGTCTGTCCCTATTCAGGAGACCTGTGATGTTGAGACACTAAATAAACGTCTAATTTCCTCACTCAGCTTGTTGGTCAGCAGATACCGAATGTGCAGCGTATTTACAATCACAGCATTTAGCTGACGCTGGTTTTAAAGACAGTTAATGCGGCTGACGTTTTTTTGTGTTTTGCTTGGACTCACCGAGAGTCCTGAGCAGAACGAACTGCATTCCCAGAGCGAACGGCCTCTCCTGCTCCGCTACAGACCTGCAACACCAAACCAAAACCAGTTCAGAGACAGCAAAGTGTAATCCAAGAAATAATAAGTAATAAAAAATGACAGTGACAGAGACGAGAACATTTAAGTTCAAATAAAACTGAAGCAGTGTCCGCAGTGCGACTGACACAGCAATGAAACTTTCACTGCCACGTTTTTAAGAAGGTAAATATGTTCAGTTGTGACCACTTTGTTAAGTACATTTGAGAATAATTAGCTTGCTCATAAATATCTCAGTAACCAGGTTTACTTCAGGTCAATTTCTGCCCCAGTAACACGGTGAAACTTTAAAAGTGTGATAAGAATCATTTATAGTATTGTGTTTGTATTTGTTCTTGGATTATTTCATCTTCAATAACAACATTTAACAACAACTTCTGTTTGACCATCTCTGATGTGCCTCAAATTTTTATGGCATAAAATATAGACATTTCAAATGAGATTTATGGATGAGACATATTAGGAAATGTTAGCGTAATATATCAAAAAGGTTCTTTTCTGTAATTTGCCGTTGATTGTTTTTGAGGCTGTTTGAACAACAATATCTCAGGGACTATCAAAGACAAAAAAACCAAAAAGGTCAAACGTTTTTTCTCATCATGTCATTGACTCATACGGTGTAATATTGAACAAGCAGATCAAATCATCTCTGATTATGGGTGAGTTGAAATATGACAAAAAAAAAAAAATGAAGCCATCATAAAAAGTCTTTGAACTTTCACGTGCTACAACTCGCCAAACCTGCTAAAGAAGTTAAAAATGTTAAACGAAAATAACTTTCTTTTCATTTTTGTGACCAAATAGTGCATAGTAAGAAGTATTCTGTAAGTTTAATTTTGCATTATTGTGACACACGGCTTCATGTGGTTCTAAAAAATATCACTTTTCATTTTTATGAATGTGCTCAAAGATGTGACAGAATCTGTTGCTTTTTGCTGCTATGCAGTCGTGGTACCATCTTTATTACGTTTAACTACTTTACTTTTTAAAAAATCAGTAAAGTTTCTTGAGTTTGATCTTTTTAGGATCAGTCAACAATCGATTGATCACTCTGAACACTGGTTTGGATTCAGTGAACTATTGGTGAACCTCAGCACTGAGCTGTAAAAACCTGGCGGCCTGTAGAGAGCGTACCTGAGCGTGACGATGATGGCGGAGGGCTGAGCGCAGGCGGTGATGAGTGTGACGATGAAGAGGAAGATGAGGAAGGGGATGAGGGTGCTGCAGGTGCGGTCGCACTTCCCCGACACGGCGTATCCGTTCTCGTTCAGGTACGTCTTCACGATGACCAGCTGCAGCTGGTTGCCGCCCTGACCGCCCGACGACGGCGTGATGACCTGCCGGCTCTGCACGCAGGCGCAGTCGGAGTAGTTCCGCACCTGGAGGACGGGTGGAGACGTCACGGAGCTTTAGACACTCTGACATCACATTGTTCTGGATAATCATGACAGATTTCTGCAACCTCTCAGGTTTAGTTCAGAGTTTATTATCTGTTATTTGGGGCCAAAAACTAAGTTCTGTCAAATATTTTAGCTGGATTTTGTGAATTTCACATTTTTTCAGATCTGGAAATTTTTGTATTTTTATCTTAAAAAATAAAAAACAGACATTTTAAGGGCTCAATATCTCCAGAAATGTAAGTCAGTCCCACAGCCATGAAATGTGGTGAGGACACAGACAGAATAGATTCCTGCAGATCATAAGGATTGAATGGATCCAGCACAGGACATATTTTTTATTACTGTCCATCCAAAAAGTGCAAAGACTGTTTTCAGTAAGGAATGTACATCTGTTAATGTACACGTACAGAAACTTTCTGGGGACACAATACAACCCGTTTTCTCCCATTTTTCAAGGGCTAATAATTAAATATCTTGACTCTCCCTGAGCCAGGATTCCACATAAGACCTACTCTTGCGTTTTTTATTTTTTTATTTTTTATTTTTTAACCCGAGCAGCCTTTTAAAGGGTCCAATATCTCCAGAAATGTAACTCCCACTGCCATGAAATTTGTGAGGACACAGACTGAATAGTTTCCTGCAGATCCAAATGACCATATGGCTCCAGCAGAGGAGACATTTTTAACACATTTTTAATTATTACTTCTTGAAAATGGAAAAAAAGTGCAATGTTTTCTACCAAGTGTGGTACTGTTGCTATACATGGATGGATCCATGTTTCTATTGAAATACAGTCTTTGGTCGACATTTCACCAACTTTTGAGGCTCTAACATCAGTAGAATTTGATGAGTGGAAAGTTTGACAAGAAAATGTTGCAGTTTTTAGATATTTTGGCTGAATGTTAACATGCACTCATTGGCAGGAAACAAAAAAATGGTGTTCACAGGTTCTATATGTTGTTGTTATATGTACAGGTTTCGTTATTCTTATTTACTGAAATGAACAACATGTGAGACTGAATTTACTGGAACCTTGTCCTGCCAAACTTTCCACCTCCTGGAGATATTAAACACTTAAAACGGCTTCACAGGTAAGATGATTTTTTGAGGGTGAAAACACAAAAAATTGCAGTTGTGAAAACATGAAGTTCACAGATACTAACTATTCATCAGAACTTAGTTTTGGGTCCCAAATAACAAATAAGTCAAATAACTACATCTGAGACACTGCAGCAACATGTTTCCTTAATTATGACTGAATTAACAGCGTTTTTAAAATCTTCCTAAAATCTGAAAATTATCATCAACTTCTTTAAAACTTTCACAAATTACAAACATTCAACTGTTTCTTCTGAGCTTCACATTTCTGAACGACAATAAATCAATCTGTTTTTCAACTCAGATCTTTCAGAGGATGAAACTTATTTTCCCAGCATTTTCACGTTTAAAAAAAAAAAAAAAAAAGAAAGAAAATTTTCATGAGTTTTGGCGCAAAAATTAAACAAGGAAGGTTGAATTTGCGTGTTTCTTACCCCGGTGCTGTCGTTGGCCACGCTGCTGCAGCCGGCCAGGCAGGGGTTAAAGTACGTGATGCCGTCAGAGCCGCAGACAGGAGCGTATTCATGGATTTTACAGCCACAGTTCACGTTGCAGCCTCCGGTCAGGTTCCTCTGAGTCATGGTGAGTGTTGGTCTGCAGACAGGAAACACAGACACCAGAGTTACACTTCACACTGGAGCTTTTCTAAATAAACGGATCATTTTTGTGTTGTTGCTTCATGGCAGCCTAGTGAATCTAAAGCTAAAGCAGAGACCAAATGAATTGCAGTGTTTGGTGGTTTTAGGTAACATTTAGCCTGAAAGCAGTGAAAATATTAAAATAAACATTGTATTCAAGCTAAGTTGCTGCAGCAATCATCATCACAATAACTAAAACAGGAAAATACGCGTGTTTTTTTTTGAACACACGACTAATACGCAGCATGAATCTGAAATTTGTTGCCTCTTTTATTTATAAATAACTTTGATTGAGTACAATATGGAATTTATTTTAGTATTATTTCTCAGTGTGTCCCCATGAGACCTGGAAAACAAAACACTGCTACTTTATCAGTCTGTTAAAGTTTTCATTTATTGATGAAAATGGTTCATTTAAACTCATAAAGTGATTCAGACTTTGGTGCTCCTAACAGGTTCATTCAGACACCACAGTGATGGAGACCTAATATTTTTCATTCAGACTAAATCTAAACTAACATCAGCTTATCAAACTGTCCCAATAACTAATTATTACTTTGTGTTTTTTTAAACACTTCTGTCCATGTGTGATAATAATCTAACCAACATCCATCCATCATCTACACACCACTGAATCCTCAGGTCACCAGTCTATCACAGGGCCACACTTAGAGAGAGACAACCAAGCACACTCACATTCACACCTACAGACAATTTAGAATCACCAATTAACCTCAACATGTTTTTCACTGTGTGGGAGAAAGCCAGAGAACCCGGAGAACCAACGCTGCACGGGGAGAACATGCAAACTCCACGCAGAAAAATCCCGGGTGTCCTCACCGGGATGCGAACCGGTGACCTTGCTGCGAGGCAACAGTGCGAACCGCTGCTCCACCTTGCAGCCCACTTTCCCAACAGTAAAATAAAAATATCCGGCAGCTGTATTGGAGTCAAGTCAGGACTCAACTGTAACTCCTGATTTACCTGCAGCTGATGAACTGATTTTAACCTGCTGTTAGATCCTAGCGCATCCCGTCTGCATGTCAGGGGTCATAACACTGAAGCTGTGTGTAAATGTGTACAGCTTCTCTCTCACATGGATTCTGCTGGTGTCTGATGCTGCAGATATTTAATAAACTCAGAGGAAATGGTCTGAAATAGCTTGAAGCAACAAAGTAACCCTTAAAAAAATCTGGATTGTACTAATTTGTGGTAAACCTTGTTAATGTGACCTGATACAGACTCATGGCAGTAGAATCCTATTCTTATGGACCATTTTAGTTTGTAATAGATGCACAAACTGTGTCTTGTTGCCCAATTTCGGTGCTGAAATGTGGAAAAAATTGCTTCAAACTACTGTAAAAGCGCTGCTTGTGTATGATGATATGTTAATGACACAACATGCAGTTTTAGATTTGTGTTTAAAGACGTGAAGCCGACACGTTTAGATGTTGTCAGATGAACAGAAAGGAGAGCAGGAGTATAAAGGTCCTTTATAGTGACGTCCGAAAACCACTTGGTGAGGATTAAAACTGATTTAAATTACTGGGGGAAGAACTACCCAAGTCAGCGTGAGCAGAAACAATGCATTAAGGGATCTTTTATACAGAGTAATGCTGAAAAAAGGACATTTTATTGGCTGATGGCAGTAAAAACAACAACAACAAAAAAGACACCGTGAAGCTTTCATGACAAAGACAAGACTGAAAGGGTTTTGTGGAATTGATTCTGTGATGGAAAAGAATGAAAAAGAAGCATAAAAGCTGTCCAGAGAACAATAAGAATAGATGGAAATTAAGGATGAACAGTGAAAGAAGGGTCGGAAATAGAGGGATGAAGATGGAAAGAGAGAGGAAAAAGGTAAGATAAATGAGAACGCTAAGAAGAGATGCAAAGGCATCACAGAGAAAGGACGACAAGAAGAAGTAGAAAAAATGAAGAGAGATAATGAGATAAAAACGAGACTGAGATTTTAAAAAAAAAAAACAGAACAGAAGATGAAGACAGGAGGGCAGGAAGGACAGAAAGACAGACTGAGAGGGAAATAAAAAAAGGCCAGAGGGAGGAAGAGGAGAGAGAAAAGGCCGGGCAAGGAGCCAGAGATCTTCTCCTCCAAGCTGTCCTTGGACGTCTTCCATCGCTGCCATGTAATCGCTCTCAGGGACGCTGTGTCCAAAAGAAAACGCCTCCGTTCACTGGCTCCTGATCTGCTATCGGGCACTCATCTGAACACTCGCTTCCTCCCCGACGTTGGCCACAGATGGGCCGATAAAAACTACCGCTGACTCCGTCATGCCGGGAAATTATTTAACACGACAAAGGCCAAGCTGCAGTCGGCAAACGGCTGGTTTAAGTGGAAGCTCTGAAAAGCTCACAGATTCACTCCTGCAGTCACATGAGAGGAGAAAAGCATCTCAGCGAAGACGGAACTCGGAGCCAAAAAAGCTTCCAACGCGTCCATCAAGAAGATTAAAAGACGGGCACATTTGTAAACATAAAAATTTGATGCGACGCAGTTCAGTCTGGTGTCTGTCGAAGAAAACCAATGAGAATCAGCAGAATTTAGTGTCTACGAATGGGTTTCTGCCAAAAATCAATGACAGCTTTATTGTAGTTGATCATTTATTTGTCTTTTCTGTTTCTACTCAAAGCAGATGAAGCTGAAACACGATAAATAACAATCCACCACGTCATCCAGGGCAGAAACCAAGATTTTGTTTTTTTTGGTGTGTGAAACTTCAAAACTCATTTTTCCTCACTGTGGTTTATTTTTCACTGCAGTATAAAGTCCTGCTCCTCTATGGAAACAGAACAACATGAAGAAGCAGAGAGAACTCAGACATGTCTTCAGTCAGAATGACCCATTTAAACGGAAACTTTTTCAAAACGTCTAATTTCTTGATTATTTATTTTAGAAAAAGTCCAAAAAACCTGAAATCAACATGTTCAACAAAGCACCCACTGATATTACCAATATTGTTTAAAAAATGGCTTTAAAAGGTAACTTTAATGAACTGAAAGTGTGTTTTATAAAGAAAAATGGTTTCAGATTGACTCAAATTAGATCAGGAGCAAAAAAAAAAACATTGCTGGGAAGATTCCTGTTTAATCCTGTTTATAGTACAGTTAAAGAAAAGATGCTTTTTACTGACCAGATCATCCCGACATCTATCTGCACCTTTATTCCTGTTTACCGTCACTTACATAAGGTGTGAATGAATTATGAACATGTATGATAAGTGATACTGGACAAAAAATGTGGGGAGAGAGTTTTACTGCATCTGATTTGGGTTTGGACTGATTATCAGCCTTTCTGATTATTGGTATCTGTATTTTTTTTGACCAATTATTGATGAATTAAATGCACTGCTTCAGGTCCGATGCAGCTACTCTCTCTGTCTGTCATCACTCTGTGGTCACAGAAATGTCTCTCAAGTCGAAACTGCAAAAACTGAACCAGAAACACAAGCCGGTGCCACAAACCAGGAAATTAGCTCCTCTCACAGTGGCTGAGGTTATGTTAGCAGGCAGCCACAGATTAACCTGAAACAGTGTCTGGAAAACAATAAATAACAACGATTTAAGATCTGGACTTTAGTGGGAAATAAAAGTGATAGAACAGTGAAAGATGAAGTAAACAGAGAAGAACAGCAGACGATTGATCAGGAGACAAACTGATCCATCTCAGTGGATCCCACATAAGCAGAGGAGATAGTTTAATCACCCCTGTTTCTAATTTACACATTCAGTTACAGTCACCCTTATTAATGAAAAAGCCATGTTAAGAATAGCAGGTTCTCTGTGATCACATGCTGTTGAAACATTACATTTATTGGATATCAGTCCTAAATATTGGTTATTGATCTTGCTTGGTCAGTAAATAATCGGCATCGGCCCAAAAACAAACAAAAAACATATCAGCCAATCTCTAGTCTGAACTCTGTTTTGGTGAAAACACAAACTGTAATTTGTAATTTGGAGCCAGCTTACCGGAAGAAACTACAAATTGTAAATGACTGATTATTCCTCCTGCTGACACTGGGACTGAAAGCAGGGTCTCTGGGTTTCTGACTCTGTCGTATGTCTGAATGTTCCCACTGACTCCCTGCTGTCCATCTGTTTGGTTACTACGAGTCTAACTGGATCTACAGAGCAGCAGAAGAGGTAGAAACAGACTGTTTCTGAGCTGAGATGATGCTGCAAAGACCACCGAGGCTCCTTTTTCTCCATCTGACCGCTTTCACAACTCTGTTGTTGTCTCTGGAGGTTTTAAGTGGCTCCATCGAGCTGTTTACCTTTTACTTCTGTCTGTTTATTCTCATCTTTGTCTGTGGACGTTTTCAGCTCAGACATGGAACATTGCTCACCCGGTAGTGTATGGGATGTTGATTCCTCCCAGGTTGATGCTCTCGCAGCCGACGATGAACAGCGTGGAGAAGCAGAGCAGTGACACGCCGCTGCAGATCATCGCCAGCTTGGCTGACTCACGAGCTCCGAGCTTCAGCTTCTTGATGATGTAGCCGCCGAGGACGATGCCGACGCCGGCGCTGGGAACAATAATCACACCTGAGGAGGGAAAAAGCAAAATGAATATACAGGTTTATTCTAAGAAATAAAACAAGTTGCTCCTGACTTACTACTAACGTCGATTTAAGATTAAAAAAAAGGTACCACTTTATCAATTCTGAAGGAAATTCTTGCCAGATATTGTTCAGGAAAAGCAAAATGATATAACATAGAAATGCAGCATCTAAAAAGTAAACAAGCAACAGTACAATAGATTACTGAAATAAACTAAGTAAGTTAAATAAGGCAGTAAAAAGCACTGCTGGCAATGAAACTGAGGTAACAATCACATATGATAATGAAATATCTGAAAAAGACCTGAAAAATAAATGAAAGTGAATATATTGCACATTGAATGCATTGTCCCCTGTGGCTTAAAAACTACAGAAATTATATATATTTTAGGAAACATAAAATACAAATAAATCTAATGAGTTTTGTGTTTATATGTGGACGAATCCACATAACGTTTTCATTTCCTGCCAGCTTTTGCGGCTAAAACTCAACAAATATCTTGATAAATATCCATATTTTATGCTATACAAATTCAAGGCACAGCAAAGATGGATGAGAAGAAATTGCTCCAAAACTTAATGTTTTTAGATGGATTGACTCCGTAACTGTCATCAACACTGGCGGATTTGATTCCATCACATTCAATCGAGACATTCAGATTTACACATCACTTTTATACTGAAAAATACAGAAATCTATTATGTTAAATAACCAAATGAGGTGTAAATACAACAGAAAGTTGTGTGTAGAATCACAACTGATCTCAAACATGTTTGGAGAACCTTTGTTAGCTGCAGGAAAATGCAAGTGTAGCCCTGTGATAGACTGGAGACCTGTCCAGGGTGTCCCCTGCCTTCGCCCTAAGTCGGCTGGGATAGGCTCCAGCGCCCCTGCGACCCTCGTGAGGATTAAGCAGTGTGTAGATAATGGATGGATGGATGGATGTTTATTGACAGGACAATGTACAATTCCATTATGCTCAAGAGCAAGGATGCTTGTACCAGACTATAGCTGTCAAGCTAATTTCCATCTGTGGTCCTGGTCGCTCTGTTTTTAGAGATGATCCTAAAGAAAATGCAGCAGCAGCAGCAGCAGCCGCCTCCAGGCAGCATCACCATGACAGCACACATCTGAGTGTGGGCGGAGCTTCTGACCCATCACAATAAGAGTCTCTTCAGTAGGTGTTGGATAAATGTTAGATTGGGTCCTGAGCAGCTTTCTGTCCTCCTAGAGACTTAGTCTCACTTTGGACTCGCTGCTCATTTTGTAAAATACACATGAAACCATAAGACACACTGTCATAAAAAGGTTAGAAATGTGGTGCAATGCAAGAGCTCTCCATTAGATACAGGTATTCGCAACAATGGGAACATGATGTAAACACAGTTCCACCTCAATAAAACCAACACTCTGCTTCAGACCTGTCCTCGAAAAAACAAACATAATGTCAATATGATGGAGAGAAACAGATCTAACTGCTCAAAACTGGAGAATCCAAAGTGTCTTCAGACCTTTTATCTTCCACTGATCACTTTAACATTAATGCAACAAGACTGAAAAGTACATTTAATGAGTTTATCTTACTATGAATAATTTTAAAGTTCCAGACCCTTGAAATCCATAGAGGAGGGTCCATCACTTTTTAATGGACTTTCATCAGTACAGCAGATAGACACATGACATTTTAAGTTGAAACACACATTTGAATTCTGCTAAAAACTGAAACCAGATCAGGAGTCACAGTCTGAACACTAAATGTGACCCATCTGCACAAAAAGAGTCGTATTGCGCTAGATGATATTTGACAATTTGACAATATATGTTCCTACATGTAGAAAACAACTAAATTGACCGATCTAAGTAATAAACCCAAAATCAATATTTTATCACGTGTCAACGTAATTCGGGCTGTATCTCAGACATAGCCCAAGGCACAATGCGACTGATTTCGCGCAGATGGGTCACAAATCTGTCTTTTGTGCAACACCATTTTATCTATAACCCAACTGCACCAGTGTCAAAATATAAATATATTAGGAAGCATGTTTGACACAGAATGAATTATGTCCAAATATAATAAAGATGATCTTGGTTTAAAATCTTGGTAAAATGATCCTTTCATTGTCTAGAACTGGTTCTGACCAACCACCATCACACATGCTGATATGAGTCTTGAAAGTTTACCCAGAATGCATTTTTTAAAGTTTTCTCTGGTGAAATATTAGAAAACAGAAACACATCCAGGGTACCAATGATTGTTTCTATGACTCTGTGTCATAGACATTAAACTGCTGCAGTTTTACTGTTCAAACTATCATACATCCCATAATATTGATGCTCAGAACAGAACAGAAACCAGATTCAGTGTTCAGACTGTGACTCCTGGATGGATGTAAAACTGATCTGGTTGCAGTTTTTACCAGAACTCAAATGTGTTTTTCCTCCTAAAATGTCATGTGTCTATCTGCTGTACTGATGAAGTTCTGAGGCTCAGAAATGATGGAAAAAGTTCATTAAAGTGATAAATGTGGACCCTCCTCTATGGACTTCAAGGGTCTGGAACTCTAAAAATATACATAGTATGAAGGTGAAACTTTGCTTCATTAAATAAACCTACTGTAGACGAAGGATCAGCTGATCCTGAGAAGGTTTCTCAGATTTTTACATAGAATGACCCCTCACTGCTTTTGCTGACCTAGAGAAGGGAAGTGAAACGTCAACCCTGCTACAGGGTCGTTCCACTCACTCATCCACAGATTCTTCAACACTGTGGAGACCAAACTGTCCCGAGACATTCAGAAATCCTTGAGCAGGTTCCCTTAGAAATCATCTGATCTCCCTCTCTGGAGGATGATGTGAAAATATGTCTGAGTGGCAGTTCTGGCTTCACAGCCCACTCAGCTGAGACAGTTACACAACTCAGCACTGAAACATTTCTCATAACAAGATGTAATTTCATGGAGAAAACCTCACTGGACGCGAGCATGACTAAGACGTTTTAAAACCTCATAAATGAGTTTGTCGAGTGTTTAAAAACTCGGCCGTGAATAACAGCTTTTTGTGTGGACGGTTCAGATGAGTCACCTGCAGCTGTGACTAATGTGTGAAGAAATCATAGGCAGGTTTTCAAAAGGCCACGATTTTATCCTGTTACTGAACTCTCGAACAAAAGAAAACACTACATGAAAATGCAAAAGCCAACAGCAGAGCACGCTGTTAATATCAAACATTGTGTTGGAGAAGGTGGAGAATCTTGAATCTCATTCCTGGAGAAAAGTATGTTGTGTATCACAACCACAGAAGCTTCCCAATGTGGTGATACTTGAGCTGCAAACAGCTTCAGGAAACTAAAACATCCAGTGACTGAAAAGGTCATGAGTTCTGAGCAGAGCATCTCTTCTCTGCTACAACAGCAGGATGCATCTGCAGGTTTAAGAAGAAAAGGCTGAACTCTGCTCAGGTTAAACTGAAACAGGACACACATGAGCTGAAACCTCAGTCAGAGATCAGAGGATCTCAGCTGGATTTGTTAACCAGGTTTTCTGCTTCAGACTGCTTCAGAATAAAAGAAGCATTTGAGATGTAATTTGACTCTTCCTCTGCACAAAACAGACCAATGCTGCTTATTTCTGTAAAAGGGAACAGGCTGTTGTGATGGAGGGCTGTGAGGAATTTAAACATTTATCACAGTCTAAAGTAGAATGCTGGTAGAAAAGTGTTGATGCTCTAACTTAATATATTTATTTTCCTGCTCAGTGACTCTCAGCTGCACATCAGAGCTCTGAAACCTTAAACTTCATTCATTTAAACATCAACTTTCAGGTCTGAAACTGCTCCAGAATGAAAGAGACTTGTAATAAGTTTAGTCTTTGGACAAATCAAAGTGAAATTAATGTTACTGATTGAATATTTTTTTGTGATAAGTACCAACAGACTGACAAATTGTCTAATCTTCTATCAGCTGCAGCACCAGCAGAGTAAACTAATTGGGACCAAACATAAAAACTGATTGATGCATTTACTGCATAACCAACTGGATGTAGGTTCCTATGGCAACACGCTGCCTACAGCTTACCTGCTGTCACTGCACGGCTTCATTCAGCTCAACAAGTTTGCAGATAAAACTTCAGCTGAGAGTCTGAATCACTCAGAGACACTTTCTGCAGCTGATTTAAACACCAAAATCTGGAAAGAACCTCCTCCAGAGCAGGTGAGCTGTGCAGCATCAGTTAAGCAGGATGAACACACCTGTTATCCCACTAATGTGGCTTCATGAGAGAAACGTGCCACACATTGGTGTCTCTGCTCTACAACCTCAAGCTCAATCCAGAACCTTTACACGAAAATGATGAAGATGGTGGTGATGATTGTATAAATATTACACTTCATGGTTTACAGGAAGTAGTTAAAGCCCAGGGGCCTCATTTATCATCAGTGCGTAGAAAAGGTTCTAAATTCTGTCGTACGAACAAAATTTAGAGTGTGCGTAAGTACAAAAGAAATCCGTATTTATCAAATGTGCGTACGGGGGTCATACGCACATCAGTGTTGATAAATCCCACTTGTTCTTAACCTCCGTGCTCGTACACATTGCCTTCAGAAACGCCTCCAAATCACCATATACGGCAACAACACACCTCTTTATAAAGCAAGTGAAGATTTATTTTTTCCTCACCTGTCGGTATCATCGTGGCAAAAAGGGCGAAAAAGAGGAACTTTTCTGAAACTGAGATTGAGGTACTTGTCAGCGAGGTTGAAGCAAACCAGAAAATATTGTTTGGTGCGTGAAATGTTGGGATAAGCAGCAAAAGAAAAAATACTGCATGGGACAAGATAACCACCGCAGTTATATCTGTTGGGTCAGAGGAGAGATCGGCGGCAAAAATTTAAAAAAGTGGTTTGATGTTAAGCTCAGTGCCAAAAAACGCATCACAGCCCATAAAAGAGAAATGACTGCAACTGGAGGACGACGAATTAATACTGAA